ATTAATCCCGGTGGGAAGAGAAACGACGATCAGCCAAGATGCCGCGGTGCTATATGGTAAAGAAGGCCTTGTGCAACAAGTACATAACCAGCGTTGCCAGAGGATTCGAGAGCTGGGGTCGCGGAAGGAGCACGCCATCGCCAACCACCATGCAGCTGCCGGTCTCACCCATAGAGGGGTGCGTTGCACCCCCTGTTGCACAAGGTAACGCCGCATTTTGCCCGTATTTTGCCATGGATCTACGATTATTATAATTATTTTTATCAGTTAATTTTACGCAAACCGGTTAACGTTAACGGAACGTCTGAACTTGATAAAAAAATCGACGTGAAATTAAAATTACCTTATGTGAACGATATAAGAAACGTAACATATATACGAAATATAAAAAAAATATATATATATATATATATAAAAACGAATATCTCGTGAATAGAAATTTTTCGAAAAAAATGTGAGTAGTTATTTTTTTATTCTTTCGCAATTTTATTTTAACGCTTTAGCGGCACTTTACGATATTTATTTCGGCGCCGGGCCGATACGCGTTTATATCGAATTAACAAGTGATAATGGCACACGCCGCTGCGCACCACGTAATTCCCGACAATGCGTTACCCTGGTCGCAACAAAACGACCTTAATTGTCGGAATTCTCCGTGGCGTTACTACTTGTACGGTGCATCCGCCTCTCGTGTGAACGGCGAAAATGGTATGCGAAACTTGTCGAGATAGTAAATGCAGTTACAAAGGCGGCGCTCAGAATCATCGTAATGGCGATGCGCGTTTATAGTACCTCGTCGGCATAAAGGGGGCGAGAATTTCGAACGTTCGTACTACGAATAATTTGATTGACCGACTAAAAAAATAGGGAGTCTTTAATTAAAATTTTATTGGACCATTTAAAGGCATCCATGTAGTAATTGCGAGAATTAATTAAGATAGATTTTAATTGTCACGATTTTAATTGTAAAATGTATTAATCTTGGGATGCATTATTGTAAAATTGTAAAATTGACGTTAATTTTTCTCTTTTCTTTTTCTTTTTTTGACTCGAAATGTAGGAGAATTTTTTAAGAAAATAGGAAAGGGACAAAATCTCAATTGTAATTCAATAATTTTTTCAATTATAGTTCCTTAGTGATTTTTTTATATTTTAATAAGTATCCCACATGTATACGTAATAAAAATGTTTTTTCGGTCGCACAATTCATCGCCAAAATTTTGCATATACCCGAGCTTTTTTTATATCGTAAAAGTAATTTTATGCAGCACCCGCAGTGCGGGACGTCTGCATTCGCATAATAATCATTCATAGCTCGTCGATCCTTTCGCGAGCAATGAGCCTCTTCGTGATCGCAGTAAAAATTTATTCCGCTCGCGAAACGTAAAGAAACCACGACGCAGAAATATTAAAACAGATCGGCCTGATGGCATAAGAGAAGTCGGTCGCTCTTAAAACGAAACGTGTACTTTCATAACCGAGTTATCGTGAAATTTTATGTCCGCTTAGTCTGGGAGACCTTCTTGGTTCTCTACTCCCATCCCTTTTGACCTCGTTTCTAACATATTTCATAATCCCACTATCCCCCACCTTCGCAATCCGTACTATGCAGCCCACATCTTCCTCCTTTCCCTCTATCATCCGTTTATCGCTGCACTTCCTCCTCCTACCATCAAAGTTCGACACTCCTTGCTATCACGCCGGTAACGAGAATCGGATATTCTTCTTTGATATCCCATTTAAAAACTCGCGATATCGTTAAATCTGGATTAAAAAAAAAAAAAAATCAGATGAAAGGAAAAACACGAGCTCACACGTTACGCCTACGGTACACGAATGTTTCAAATATCACAAAATGAAAAACAGTAGATGTTGCAAGGGCAAGCGAAAACATTTTTCTATTAAGCAAATCATGTCCGGTCAAATCCGGAAACGGAAACGTGAAAATCAAACATGAGTTACATACTATTGAAGATTTTATTATTGCCATTTAAAGTGGATATGAACTAGCATGAGCACTTTGACTGCGCAATGGAACGTTACTTGTTACAGATATGATTTTGGCACATCACGCGCAAAAAGAATGAGAGACGATACAGCTATATGCAAAATGGTTTCCTCCCTTATCCTACCTATATTATATTTCAATGAAAATTGATTAATTTATAACTGATCAATTAAGGAAAAATAATTAAGAGTGCAAAATTCTTAATTTCTTGTAACAATAATAATATCTGATTTTGTTTAATTTATTAAAATTAAAAATTTTTGTAATTAATCTTGCATATACTACCTTATTTCATAACATTTAGTCCGAAATACTCTTACAAATCAGATATTTTGCCTATTATGATATTATGATAATCTTTTCCTTTAAATTTATACCTGGTATATATCTGATTTTTTTTAAAAAACTTTTAACTGCTTTAATAACGCAGATACAAATCAGATCAGATCAAATTCAGATACATATCAGATTATTTTAACGACGACATTGAAACTAATGAAATAAAAGAGATGTTACTTTATTTTACCTTATATCTAACCGATTTCGAAAATAGCAACATTAACTATTGATATGTCTGAGTTTAGTAGGACATCGGTGCATTAACAAACTCGATAAATTTATAAAAACGCACAAATCATTTGTTATCGAACAGTAATGTAGTATAAAAAAATTCGTTGTAAAAATTGCAATGTCTCTTATGTGTTATCAAACAAAGATTGAAAATCAGAATAAAAGAATAAGTTAACGACATAAAACTTGAACAGTTGAAGCATTCGGTTGTCTCAAAATACATTATAAATATAGACGTAATGAATATGAATTTGATTGGAATAATATTAAGATCTTGGATCTTGAGAGCAAATATCACAAAAGATTCATTTCAGTAATGATTCACATCAAAGAACAGAAGCATGGCATAAATAAGAAATTATCGAATTACTTTTGATAGCTTTTATTTTAATGTTCTTGAAAAAGTTCTTTCAGACTACGTTTATTTAATGTAAGCACTTTTGTGAATATACCGCACCGAAAAATTGTTACATGTTAATAAAACAAAATAAAAATTATTTATTCATTTGTCTATATATCAGTGTTTATCTATGTTGTGTTTCACTTTTTGATTATATATCATATATTAAAACGTCGATTACGTTTTTATTATGTTCTGCTTTATGTTCCACAGTTTATTCTTTATTTTTATTATATTGATGATTAAGTAAAATCTGAAACGTTCATCTTCAATATTATATGATTTTTTTTTATTATATCTTTACTTTTTTTGCTCAAATTTGGACTGTAAATTTCCCTCATTTGCTGTTGATTGGAATTACAAACGTGTACACTGTGCGACAATGATTCGCGTGGTCCCGCCGGAGCTCTAACTTATTGGCCTCAGGCTTTACTCAGGCAGAGTCGATAATATCGATAATGCTGAAGGAGATTGAAATTAAGATAATTAGATAATTTATTAAAATTAATAACAAGTTTCTCAAAGATATTCTTTTATTAGGAATAAAATTATGCATATCCGAATGATCGATCTAGTATTCTTGTGCAATTACTTGCTTGTTATCGTCTTTCCAACGAATTGCTCAAATTTCCATTTCCTTCTACATTATTTAATTATTTATTACAATCTATTGTCGTTTATATCTATTTGAATAAATGTTTAATTCAATAATACGCATATATATATTACGAATTATATATTTATACAGATAAATATAAAGATGCGTATGATCTGTAACACGACGGAGATAATTCATGCATTTTTAAATTAGAAAAAGAAAGAAAGATGAAACGAATAAAAGAGTTTGGTTATTATTTTTATTATTTATTACTGCATGTGTTCCTTTCGATGTGCCACCTTTCCAAAGCGCGCGCGCGCGCGCGCGCGCGTTCAGCATTATCGACGTTATCGATCCTGCCTGAGTAAATCAGGCCGATAAGTTAGGGTTCCGGCGGGACCACGCGAATCATTGTCGCGTAGTGTACACGCGTAGAGCTTAATCTTTATGGTGCTGTCAGAATGTCGCAACACACAATCAAAAGACACAACGGCCGTCGCGGCTTCTACCGCGGCCGATGTAGATCCCTCGAAGGAGCAGCCGAGCGATGCAGACGCGGCTGTCACGACAGCGATGACAGCATCGTCATCCGTCGTCAGTGTCATCACGATGACACCCACGACCGACTACTCGATGACGACACGAATGGAGACGTCCGCGTGCACCACCATGACGTCTTCGACGACTCCACCTCCGTCAGAATCGATCGTCTCTCCCGTCGGGGGTGCTACAACGACGACGGTGACGTCCTTACCTCCGTTAGGCGTGCAAACGACAATCGAAAGACCCGAGGAGACCGCGACGGCGTCCATCGCGACGCTACATCGTCCGCCATCCGGCAGAGAACCGTCTCCGCCGTCCAGCGCATCGACGTCCTATCATTTGGAGGATGCTCCGGAACACTCGAGAAGCGCCGATTCTAGGATACGATTGGTCACTTCCTCCTGCGGCATGTCCATGCCCGGCCACGTGTCGTCCATGTTCAAAGATCGCTCCGCGGCGGAAACGGAGGCGGCGCACGATCTTCTAGAGCTGTCTCGATCGTTACCCCCCTTACCGCCGCCGAGCGTCGCGATCGGTCCCCAAAGCGTAATCGAGGCGCCGGCGAGTGACGTCCAGGAGATGACGGTTTATCAGCCAGCCGAACAACCGATTTATCAAGTGAACACGATAGACCTGGCCGGTTCGACCATCTACAACCATCATCAGCAACAGCAGCAGCAGCAGCAGCAGCAGCAGCAGCAACAATCCGCGCCCGCTGGGATCATTACGAATCCAGCGCGACCATCGTGCCACCTCGGGCAGTGTTTCATACCTCTGTCGCCGGTACAGGAAATATTGCTGACGTACAGCACGTCTACCATACCGTGCACCTCCATCGTCGCTCAACAGCCACAGCATCAATCACCACAGCAGCAGCAGCAGCAGCAGCAGCAGCAATCATCGCATCAGCAACCGCTGTTGCAACAGCAGCAAATAGAAACGACGCCACCGTTGACGCCGCCGACTTCCGAATGCAGCAGTGACATCGAGAACAGCAATCCGAATTCGCAGCCAACCCAGAGGGACAAGGAAGTGCAGACCATCACGGAGCAGACGGAAGGAGTGAAACCGGCCAGTTACACGTACGATACGTTGCTCGTCTCGGACGGCAGGTCAAAGAACAAGAAGACGCCCGCCGCGCAGAAAAACCAGGAAACCGAGCCGATCGAGGCACCCGAAACTTCCAAAACCGGCCGTTACGTGTGCTGCGAATGCGGTGAGTAGCATTAATTAATAAATCAAGCTCCGCTATGATATACCTTGTCCTATTAACTTTGTTTGGGATTAACTTTCGGATCGACGAGGTATCGTCGAAACCCGCTAATCCCGAGTGCCTGGCGATTATTACATCGAACCACTCGTTCTGTGTTTGCAACCTCTCCCCCCCCGCCC